GGGGGCGCACGCCTTTAATCCCAGCACTTGGGAGGCAGAGGCAGGCGGATCTCTGTGAGTTCTAGGCCAGCCTGGTTTACACAGTGAGTTCCAGGAAAGGCGCAAAGCTACACAGAGAAACCTTTTCTTGAAACAAACAAACAAACAAACAATGGTACACAGATCTGAATGACTCGCCCCCTTTTCCTTCTTATTCAGACTGTGGCCTCAGGCCGCAGTATAGAGCCGCTCCGATTCATGGTGGACCTCCTCTCCTCAGCTAAACATGGCTGGAAACATCCCCCAGAGAAACACCCAGAGGTGTACGTTTCCATGGTGATTCTAAAGCACATCAGGTTGACAAGCAAGATTCATCATCACACAGTTCACAGCCCCAAACAGTAGCCCCTCCTTGACACACCAGAGAGCAAAACCTGGCCAGAAACCATCTCTGTAGATGCCTTGATCTTCGATTCTCAGTCTTCAGAGCATGAGAAGATTCTTTTCGGTCGTTTATGCCACCCAATCTGTGGTGTTCTGTTGAGGTAAACCCAGTAGACTTTACCAGAGGGAAATCAATATATTCTTCCGAAATAAAGATGTTTATGGCATTAATTTTTGCTCTTTAAAATGTATCTTATTAAATTCAGTGTGTGTGTGTGTATACATGTGCTACAGCACGTGTGAAAAATCAGAGGAACACTCATAAGCGTCAGTTTTCTCTTTCTAGCTCTCTATGGGTTCTGAGGACCAGACTCTGGGGACCCAGTCAGGCTTGGCCGTGCTTCTGTCCCCTGAGCCATCTTGCTGGCCCCTCGTTTTAGCTCTTGGTCCTCAGTAACCTAATCTCTGAGTCTATTATTTTATCAGGAATTACACAAAGCTATTTTGAGACTTGCAAGAGTTGATTTGGTTGCTTGTTCTGCCAAGCTGCGGAGACGGCTGCCCTCCGAGGCCTGGAATCGAGGGGGTCACGGCACAAGAGGACCACGCGGAAGAGGGAAACATGCCGCTGTCCTCAGCTGAGAACACAGGCTGAGTCCGACAGCATCGCCTTCCTCGGCTCCTCCCTTCCTCTCTCCTACGCTGACCACTCAAGTAAAGAAGGACAGTCTCCGGATCCCGTTCCCTGTTTCTGCTACAAATAATCCGGAAGAGTTCAGGAGCAGAGAGTCTAGGGCTCCCTCCAGTGCCATCTGTCTCCGCCTGGCCTCCGCCTGGCCGGGGCCTGAAGATGGACACCGTGGTTCTGCCTCCTAGGGGCTCAGGGCAATGATGTTGGGGAGCCAGCTTGCTTCTGTTCAAAGAGCCCATTAGTCAACTTTCAGGAAACTTAATTCACGTCACTTAAACAATGCCATTATTAAAAATGAGATGATAGGGGAGTGGGAAAGACCAGCAGGCAAATTGCTGGCCACCCCAGCCGGATGACCTGAATTTGATCCCCAGACCTGGATGAAGGAAGCAGGAGAGAACCAACTGCACAAGTTATCCCGTGAGCCCACAGTACCCTGCGACACAGGCACCCACACCCATCTTACACAAACATGATGCTGGCAATAAATATCTAAATAGAGGGTGGAGAGATGGCTCAGTGGTTAAGAGAGCTTGTTGCTCTTCCAGAGAACCTGGGTTCAATTCCTAGCACTCACCTGGTGGCTCACATCCCTTTGCAACTACAATCCCAGGGGATCTGACACCTTCTCTGGCTTCTCTGGACACCAGGTATGTAAATGGTACACAGCATGCCTATAGGCAAGACACCTATACACATAAAATAATAAAAAATTGAATAAAATTAAAAATAGAATCAAAATGGTGGGAACAAGAATAATAAATATCTAGAACTTAGGGAGGGAGGGGGTGGGAGAGGAAGGAGGGATAAGCAATATGGTAAATGTGGCTAAATCTTGGTGAATTTACTGAGTAAAATCATGGCAGTAACGTTTGTTTTGTGGGTTAAAACACCAAACTAGCTATGACTAGTTAGTAAGGCATTGGTAAAATGCTAACCTGTCCTAGCATCCTTGAAATTTCCTACAAGGGAAGATCATGATTTTCAAACATCAAAGATATTAAATGCTGAAATTTCTAAGGTGAATGCTGACTACTATAGCTGCAAAGCAAGGTGCAACAAATACAGCAGAACATTGTGTGCCTCAGTTTCCCCGAATTGGCCAGAAGTCCACAAGGAGCTCAGCTGAATCCTCTGCCCAGAGTCTCGAGGACAGCAGTTGGGGTTTTGACCAGGGTGTGGATCTCTCCGATTTGTGTTATTGGCAGGATTGTTTCTTGTGGTCCCAAGCAGGAGGCTTCAGCCCAGGCTGAAGGGGCTGGCCAGGCTGCCCCTCCTCATAGACAACTTACCTTTTCTCAGGCCCACAGGAAAATCTCTGAATCTTCCTCTAGGGTGTCCCCGTCCTTCGTGGAAGTCACCTGATTAAAACAGGTCCATCGAGAGAATTCCCTTTTTGATTAGCTCAAAACCACCCCACCCTTCTCTTATAATTTAATCTCAAATATGGCATCTATCACATTCACTGTCCTATCCACACCCATGAGGGGTAGGAAGAAAATTATAATAAAGGGGGAAATAATTACATTAAAAATTGTGTGTGTGTGTGTGTGTGTGTGTGTGTGTGTGTGTGCATATCAGAGACATTATGACATGTATGTAAGAGGTCAGAGACAACTTACTGGAATAAGTACTCTCCCTCCACTGTGTAGATCCCCAGGGATCATGCTAAAGGCAGCAAGAGCCTTTACCCAATGAGCTTTCTTGTCGTCCCAGAAGATAATTTCAGGGCTACTTGGAGTTCTGTTTACTACAGTTAAAACAAAACCAAAACGTTTTTTTGAGACAGGGTTTCTCTGTGTATCCCTGACTGTCCTGGGACTTGCTCTGTCCACCAGGCTGGCCTCGAACTCAAAGATCCATCTACCTCTGCCTCTAGAGTTCTGGGATTAAAGGATGGTGTGCACCACCATCATCCAATAGCTACAGTAAATATTTAAAAACTAGAATTAGCCGGGCGGTGGTGGCGCACGCCTTTAATCCCAGCACTCGGGAGGCAGAGCCAGGCGGATCTTTGTGAGTTCAAGGCCAGCCTGGGCTACCAAGTGAGTTCCAGGAAAGGCACAAAGCTACACAAGAGAAACCCTGTCTCAAAAAACCAAAAAAAAAAAAAACAAAAACAAAAAACTAGAATTAGATTATTCGATTTCCAAACCAGCTGAAGTTTTAAAAAAGGAATAAGAAAAAGAAGAAAATTGTAATACTTAGGGGGAAAAAATGTAAGTAGGTAAGGAAGTCAAACAAAAAATATAAAATGATAGACATATGTCATAAATCACAGTTGATGCTAAAACCAATTTTCTCCAGATGTACCCCAAGACTATCCAAGTACATTTAAGAAATGGTCCGACTCTACACTTTTACCTCAAGACACACCTAAAGAAAAAGACTTTGAAAGTTGAAAGTAAATCAAGCGCATCCTTTTCCCAGCCGCCGCCAAGATGGCTGAAGCGGAGCAGAAGAAGCAGCGGACCTTCCGCAAGTTCACCTACCGCGCGGTGGACATGTCCTAGGAGCCGCTGATGCAGTAGTACAGTTGGGGCGAAGCCTGAACCGTGGCCTGCGGCGGAAGCCACACTCCCTACTCAAGCGACTGAGAAAGGCCAAGAAGGAGGCGCCACCCATGGAGGAGCCTGAGGTGGTGAAGACCCAGCTAAGGGACATGATCATCCTGCCCGAGATGGTAGGCAGCGTGGAGGGCGTGTACAACGGTAAGACCTTCAGCTAGGTGGAGATCAAACCAGAGATGATCGGCCACTACCTGGGCGAGTTCTCCACCACCTACAAGCTGGTGAAGCGCGGTCAGCCTGGCATTGGTACCACCCACTCCTCCCCCCCCCCCCCCCCCCCGCTTCATCCCGTGAGGGGGACCTCAAGTAGCTGTGGCCAATAAAGATTCATGTTTATAAAAAAGAAAGTAAGCAAGCAAACACTAACCAAATAGCTAAGAAAATTGAATACAGGGCTGGAGAGACGGCTCAGAGGTTAAGAGCACTGGATGCTCTTCCAGAGGTCCTGAGTTCAATTCCCAGCACCCACATGGTGGCTCACAACCATCTATAATAAGATCTGGTGCCCTCTTCTGGTGTCCAGATATACATGCAGACAGAACACTGTACATAATAAATAAATAAATCTTAAAAAAAAAAAAAAGAAAGAAAATTGAATACCTTTAAACCTGTCTCCCAGCACACACTCTTGGGTATGCTTACACAGCAGAGAAACTTGACAGTGTTTAGTAAGGTATATAAACAAGAGTATTAACAACATCATTATTCATAATAGAAAAAAATCTGAAAAGGTTCTTGAATATTCATTCACATGATGAGTCTAATGTAAAGAAACAAAGTCCGTGTGCAGTATTAAGGATTATTAGAAGGACAATCCTGTTTTGTTTTGAGACAAGGTGTTTGTTGCTATGTAGCCAGGCTGGCCTTAAATTCTCCAGGACTCTTACCTCAACCTCCCAAGGGCTCAGATTGCAGGTACATCTGGCTTGCAGTTTTGAATCAAAAGAGGAATTGCAGGTGTGTATATTTGTCCTACTTTGCTTTTCTGCTGCTGTGGTAAAACCAAAAGCAAATTGGGGAGGAAAGGGTTTATTTCATCTTATACTACATAGCCCATCATTAAGGGAATTCAGGGAAGGAGTTCGAGGCAGGATCCCGGAGGCAGGAACTGAAGCAGAGACCATGGAGGAGTACTGCTTACTGGCTTGCTTGTTCCCTTACTTTCTTATACAGCCTTGGAATACTTGCCCAACTACCTACAGTGTGCTGGGCCCTCCTACATCAATTAGCCATGACCAAAATAGTCCACGGACATATCCATAGGCCAATGAAAGAGGTAATTCCTCAGCTGAAGTTCCCTCTTCCCAGGTGACTCAAATTTGTGTGAAGCTGAGAAAACTAACCAGCATATATTCATGTAAATTGAAAAACAATGAAAATGAGTAATATGTTAGTTAAGGACTTATTTTCTGTAGAAAAACTAGCTGGGCATGTTCAGTTCTAGCACTTGGGAGGCGGAGGCAGGTGGACCTCTGTGAGTTCGAAGTCAGCTAGGACTTACATAGTATATTTCTTGACAGCCATAGCTAGGCAATAGAGAGATTCTGTCTCAAAAACGAAACAAGGTTGGGGCAGGCTACAACCGTGAGGAGGGAATGGTTAACCCTGGCTTCAGGTTCGTTGTGAGGCAACTGAGAGAACCGAGGGATGCTGGCATGCAGGGCCATAGAGAGGTTGTTGGTGGTGTTGATGGTCTAATTCTTTTTCTGACTGACATGCGATACATATGTACACACACACTGTAGTTTAGATAAGAAATGCCCCCCAGAGGCTCATGTGGAGACATGAATAGATAGAACAGATAGAATAGATAGAATCATGTTGAGACAGGATTCTCTAAATAGCCCTGGCTGTCCTAGAACTCACTATGCAGATCACGTTAACTTCGAACCCACAGAGATCTGCCCATCTCTGCCTCCGCCAACTTTTTTGTTGTTGTTACAAAATCCCCAAAC